TGCAGAAAACAGGCTCTGTATAAATATCTCCTCCCTCTAGTAATAAGTGTCTGCTAAAAAAGAAGAAGAAGAAAAGAACAGAAGAAGAAATCCAGCTTGTCCACAGTTTAACTAAAACAGTAAGGCTTACTTTCATTTGACTAATTACAATACAGAGCATGGACAATGTTTCCAATGTCCTTCCAAAAGCCATTGGTTTTCCAAAACTTTCCAAACTGCTCGAAAAAACAACTGTTCTGTTGAAAATTACTGAAAAAAAAAAGTTTCACAGAGGGGCAAAGTGATGAGAACATGACAGCTGAAAAGGAACATGATGTATCACCGTAGCCCTTTCTGTAACTCAAAGGGGCCTACAGGGAAGTCATGGTGGGGTCTGCACTGTTATTACACTATGTCACGGATGTTGCTGAAGGTCTTAGATGTAGTAGATGCTGACAAAAAAGATTTGTCTGACCAGGTGTGACATGGAAACGTGATGTCAGCCTTTTGACTCACAGACTGCCTGAGACGTACACTGAGCTTTGACCAGCAATGGGCTTTGCAGAGCGATAAGTGAGCTTTCAAAACCAATCAAGAACCCCACTCCCTCATTCAGTAAAAGGACAGAAACAATAGTAGACAGTAAGAGGAATGCAGGGTTTTTTTTTTTGCATGCTGTCATTCAGTTCAAATGCAGCACGCTCCCACATGTAAGGTGTTGCTCTTTTATTTTTTCTACTTTTTCCACTGATTTAATAGTAATATTCAGCATTCATAAATCCAGACATTGAGGAAACAAAAGGCATGCAAACTTTAACCTTTTTTTTTTTTTTTTATCACCGTGGGTTTTTATGAGCTGCAGATGCTTGACGCCCCAGGTCTACCCTTATAACACTTTTCTGCTGTAACATTCAAAAAAGGAAACAACGGTAACATCTGAAGCCTTTGTGAAAGGATGGGTAGCTGAGAGAGAGGGTTAAGATGCATGCAAGGGAAGACCTGGTTTGAAAACCTCTTGCGGAGTTTGATCCCTGCTAGTAGGGACACATGTGGCTCCAGGAATTTAAGAGCTTTTCAAACATTGTTGTGGTTATTCAGGAACACAGAAACGTTTCCCACAGTTATCCAAGGAGCAGCTCTTTCTGGCACGCAGATTTAAAATCGTGCCATTTATTCATTTATTTATTTATTTATTTTTATCACCATGTAGCAAGGCATGCAAAAGGTGTAACATGGAGAAACTCTCATGGAACAATGAAATAAAGGTAGAAGTTGTCTGCACTTGTCATGCAGCAGCTTACATCTTGTCTTACATACAGCAAGTTGGTGCAGTTCAACAGTAGACATGGGGCACATGAAATGTAGTGAGAAGCCCATCCTGTCTGTATAAATAAGGTTTTACTCACCCAACATTGGGCAGGCCAACAATCCCTATTTTCAGCGAGGTGCCAAACCTTCCAATCAATGGTGGTGGCTTTAGTGCATCAGCTCCCTTGCCCTAATCAAGACAATGTGGAAATGCACGCAGTCAGAAAAGCACTTGTCATTGCATAATCTACAGGGTATGCTATAGTTTTTTCCTTTTTTTAAACAAATCTGTTCCTTAATAAAACCCACCTTTTTTGGAGCCATTTCTCACACTAGAAGAGTCCACTGAATTCCACTACAGCTATAAGAAAAGCTCATTCATTGAAGGAAAATGGACTAAGCTAAGTCCTCAAATGCAACCAGTCGACTGCACTTTAAGCAGATCACTCGCTGCGCTCAAAATAGAACCTGCAGCCCCTGGAAATGAAAGTTGACACTGTAAGCTGGCGAGCTGACCTGCACCTCCAAATTTAGCTGTCGATAATATTGATGCAGGTCGATGAGCTCCTATAAGATCAGCACTACAGTGCTGAAGAAAAGTGGCTACTAAAAGCAGATTTTTTCCTTCTCAGAGGCTTGACTGTATTGTCTGATTTGATTTTTCTTTTTCTAATGAACATTTCCATCGCCAGTCTTGGTGCTCGTCTAACTTGGGGCTTCCACAAGTTGTAATTATTGTGGGTCTCAGTGCTCAAAGGTTTGCTCAAATTTGTCTTGTTCCCTTGTTTTATAGCTTGTTACCTTCCCATGGAAATAAAAGCTGATTGTCAAGTGGTTAATTTCCCAATGCACTTCAGTTTATGCCATCTATTTTCTGACTGTGGTCTCTCTTTAGTTGTCACTAATATAACAATAAGAATTCATGGAAAACACACAACTGAAATCCATGCAAAATATATAACACGTTATCTATACATTTATTTTACAAAAAAGCCATAAAATAACAAAAAAAGGATAAAATTGACATATTTGTACCCATTTATTTTCTATAAACTGGGCTTCCTCTGATATTGTGATCCAAGTGGACTTCCCAGATAAAAAAATGTACAGCTTCAGCACCACAGAAGTAAAGTATAACATCCTTTTCACTCACAGTTTACACTTCAACCCCCTTTTGAGAGAAACAGGTGTAGCCACATGAGCACACGAAATTACAACAATTAGTTAAACATCCTCAAATAAACTTCCCGCTGCAGAAATACAAATTAAAGCACACAGGGGCACAACCAAAAACCATTGCCCCATCCAGCAGCCTGTCTAGTTTAACATGCAGAAAATGAGGCTCTAATAATCTGGATTTGAGGCAAGTGAGGCTGGCTTTGTAGAAAGAATTTAAATGAATAGGTCTGAATTAATCATTTATCTTTTGTTGATGGATGCACCCCCACTTAGACTCATCACAATAGATGCAGAGCGTTTTGTTCGACCAAATAAATCATTCCCATTGTTTAAGGTACATTGATCAATCTAATGGCTTGTAATAGGCTCCTAATTGCCACAGAGAAGTGCTCACGAATGGAGTCCAGAATTACAGATTCAACTCAGAATTTTCCTTTGAATGACAAGGAAAGATCATGTTCTCCCCTCTTGTCCCAAATAAACATGCTATGAAAAAACCACCCATATTTTATCAGCCTGGGTTAATGGAACTAACACAAACATTTCTGTACTAGTACATTTAAATAAAAAATATAGGTGGGTAACATTTATCAGTGCACAAGGGTCTTGTGATTCCTACACACGTTTCTTTGTTAGGAGCAATGTGAACGGTCACACTGCTCATCAGAATAATTATAATAGTAATACATTATTATTATTATTATGAAGAAGAAGAAATATTAATATAAGAACAACAATAGCAGATTTCATTTTAACTATATAATTCATTACAAACACAGTAAACAAAACTAAGAAATAATGGTAATCTGAAATTAATTGCAGGGTGAAGATATTTTTCATGCAGGAAAAAAAATTATAAACGCTTACATTAAATTTCATTTAATCCTCAGACTCGTTTAACTTCTTTAGCAACAATAAACTGTGCTTATGTAGAATAAACGCTTAATACTGTTAACAGCACTCTGCCAAATTGTCATGATTGCAAAAAATGATTCCATTTTCTTGGCAGCGCCAAGTAGCCTGTTTGATGAGACTGATTTTTATTCACCCTTCTAAAGGTGGGGCTTTAAAGCAAAAAAAAAGAAGGGAAAAAAAAGAGTATTTGAACAAATTGCGCCTGTGTTTACTGGCAGCATTCACACTCTATAATAGAGCATTATTTGCGCGTTTTGAATACTGTAATGCACATCTTTCGGTCAAGCCTTTCTCTGGAAAATTGCTTTAACTTTTAAAAGGATGATGATTCACATCAGAGCAGGTCAATTTTACATTATGCCATTATCCCTGAGCGTTTTTAACAAGCTATGAAATATGCGGCTTTATTGAATTGTTATATTCAAAGGGAGAAAAATAAAAGTCTCGAGTTTAGAGAAAGGAGAATAATAATAATAAAAAGAAGAAGAAGAAACTGGCGAAACGCGGCATCCTCTTCATTGTCCGCAATTTAATTAAATGTGGGATTGGGCTGGTGTTAAAAAAAATTATTTCTCAGCTACAATGAAGACATCGCGTTAATAAATCGGTTTAATGGAGATGACTGGCGGCCTTACAGCAGGAATCTCCTGGATACTGAAACTTCTCTCCCCCCCCTCCTCGACTATAAAATACTTGTCTTTTAAAACAGATCTACTGCTTTCACTTATCAGGTGAGCTGTCATTTTTAATTAACCCCTCACCTGCGTCCCTCCACCCCCCAACAAGTGGGCAGGGAGGTACGCGTGTGGCACTGGCGCGCGCAAACACGAGCATAGGCACAAATAAGTGGAGATTTTGGCTGGAAAAAAGTTAACTGATTAATTGCGAGTCTTGCATGAATCTGCTTTCCTTCACCTATAAAGTCACTCGAATGCAGCAGGCTCATAAATAATCTAACTGCGCTCGGAGAAGCGGAGGTCTGCGCTGTCAGGCCTGTTTCTGGACTTCTTGGCTAAACTTTAATCCGTCTCTGATTTCCCAATATAAACACAACCACTTTAAAACCCCAGTCGTTTCCCACCGTGCCTAACACGCAGCAGCTTGCACTTGCGCTTGCACTTCTGCAGACCGCTCTGATAAAGCCATCTCCGAGTTATCTTTCACAAGCATACAGACTGCGCTTAAATCAACAATTTCTCAATGACGTCTTGCGCATGATCTGAATATTTAAAAAAATCAGAAGGGAAAACCTGGAGCTGCACCTTAGAAGCCGCAATCTACAAAAGCCTTAGAGAATTAGTGAAACGCTTACCTCTTGGAGAACTGACGTGTTAAAAAACTCAATTCTGGAATGAAAGGAGACATTGAGCCTTCGTGTGAGAATACATAAAAATAACTGTATGCATTTAAAAAAAAGAAAAAACACCAAATCGTGTCTTGTATGACAGTCTGGCCGGAGGCTGCACAAACAGATGATTGACGGCGGGGTTTTTGGTGTTTCTGTCTGTGGTCGGCTCTCTCATTGGCCGACTTGAAACCCCGGCCATGAATGCAGCTATCAGATTGGCTGCGCGTCCTCGCCAGCTGTACTTCAAAGAACACGCTCGCTACAACTAGGTAGTGTTGGGAGCTGCGAGCCAAGAGAGAAACCGTGTGACCTGAGTCAACACGGTAAATCTGACACAAATTGGAGCCATACAGCACTGAAATCGCGAACCCTCTCATCACAGCACAGACCCTGGATATGGCTACGTCTATACTTGGGGTGAGTCTGACTTTGTGTCCAAGCACAGAAGTTGCGCGTAAAGTTGTCGCCGCTCACTTTGCTGTGCGGCGGGATGTGTTTGTTGCTTTTCAAAACACGCGTGTTTTCCACGGGTAGAATTTATCATTTTCTCAGTTACTACAATTAAAACTTTTAATCTTGGACAAAACGTATAAAACATGGAGATGAAACTTTGCAGTCGTTTAAAGATTTTCTTAACATGTTTAGAAACTCGATGAACACTTTTATTTCTTGCCTTGCTTTGCTTACATGTTACACACTCTGTACACATACACGCCTTTAAGAAGAAAATCTCGGGTTCATTCGCTTCCAAAGACGTTTCAGTAAAGTTATGAAATTTTGTCGTATTTAATTAATTTTAGTCATGTATGCTGAGTGCTCTCCAAGCCAAGCGAAATGATTTTCCTCATTTTCTCGTTTGTTATTCTCTGTTCTAAGCCCATGTGTGTGTGTGTGTCTGTGTGTTTGTGTGTTTCTTTTTTTTCCACCCAGGAAGAACCACGGTTTGGAACTACACCTCTAGCGATGCTGGCTGCAACTTGTAACAAAATTGGCAACACCAGTCCTCTTACAACTTTACCTGACTCCAGCGCTTTCTCGAAAGGTGGATTTCACCCGTGGAAAAGATCCTCCTCCAGCTGCAACTTAGGATCCAGTCTGCCCGGTTTCACGGTAGCGACGAGCCGCGCTTCGACAGGACTAACACAGACCAGTGGCACGAGCAACAGCGCCTTTTGCTTAGCCTCCACCTCCCCGACCTCGTCTGCGTTTTCCACAGAGTACAGCGGTCTGTTTTCCAACTCCGCCAGCGTCACGACCCAGGAATCTGGACAGTCAGCTTTTATCTCCAAAGTCCACACATCAGCAGAGACTCTGTACCCGCGCGTGGGGATGGCGCACCCCTACGAGTCGTGGTACAAGTCGGGGTTCCACTCAACCATCTCCGGTGACGTTACCAATGGTGCGTCCTCGTGGTGGGACGTTCACACAAATCCCGGGTCGTGGCTCGATGTCCAGAACCCCGCGAGCACCCTTCAGACCTCTCTGCACTCCGGCACCCCGCAGGCTATCCACTCCCAGCTCAGTGGCTACAACCCGGACTTCTCCTCGCTGACCCACTCGGCGTTTAGCTCCACTGGAATCAGCCCCTCTGCGTCTCACCTACTGTCCACCAGCCAGCACCTGTTAACGCAGGACGGTTTCAAAACAGTCATCCCCTCTTACACAGACGCTTCTGCCGCCAACGCCATGATTTCAGGGGGCAGTTCAGGAATAAGTAGCTCCTCGAGGTCGTCCAGGAGGTACTCTGGCAGAGCAACATGCGACTGCCCGAACTGCCAGGAGGCTGAGCGGCTGGGACCCGCCGGGGCCAGCCTGCGGAGAAAGGGACTCCACAGCTGCCACATTCCCGGCTGCGGTAAAGTGTACGGAAAGACGTCTCACCTCAAAGCGCATTTGAGATGGCACACCGGCGAGCGGCCTTTTGTCTGCAACTGGCTTTTCTGTGGCAAAAGGTTCACTCGGTCCGACGAGCTCCAGAGACATCTGCGCACCCACACCGGCGAGAAAAGGTTTGCTTGCCCGGTTTGTAACAAGCGCTTTATGCGGAGTGATCATTTGAGCAAGCACATCAAAACACACACGGCAGGTGGAGGAGGCAAAAAGGGAAGCGACAGTGACACCGACACCAGTAACCTGGAGACCCCGAGGTCCGAGTCCCCAGAACTTATTTTGGAAGGGGTGAACCCCAGAATTACTGTTAAGGATCCGTCTCCTCACGACGAACCCTGAGGCATCTCCCAAAAAATCAATCCAGATTAAAACAAAAAACACACAAAAAAATAATAATAATAATAATAAAAACTGCACAGCAATGAAAACGGGTCTTATCTGACGGACAGTAAAGGGGAAAATGTTTCCAGAAGCGATAGCAAAATCTAAAAAAATATATATTCTCCACAGGCGTGACGAGTATTTCATTCGTAAATTCATCTTTAAAAAAAAAAAAAAAAAAAAGAAAGAAAAAAAGAGTGATTTACTGTAGGCCTTCGGAAAATTTGAGGGAGACAGCTTGAAAATGAAATGGATGTTTGCTAATGCGCGAAACCTGTTGAACTTTGGTTGGACAATGTGAGTTACACCTTGTATATTGACGACTAAACTATGTGTTATTTTCATGTAAATGTTAGGCTATGATTGTTTTATTCGTGTTGGTATCCTGGAAATCAGGGAGTTTACTTTCGACGCACTTTGTGGATATGTATGTAAACGGCTTTTTAAACTTTGGTTAACCATTTTATTTCTTTGCTAAAAAAATTTATCTATATATAAATGTTTACCTGTATAAAGTCACACGTATAAGGCTTTCATTTTATCGTAATTAAAACATCTTAAAAAAGGCTTTAAGTGTGTGATGTAGAGTTTATATATTTTTTGTTTATTTATTAGGTTTAAATCTAAAAATATATATTTTTTATTTTTTTACTTTTTTAAAGTGTGACAGCTCATCACAGGCTTTCTTTTCCTTCTTAAAATCACCTACAATACGTCGACTTTAACTATTTCCTCTATGGAATAAATCAATGTTTAATGCCCCGGAAAAGACATTTCATGCCCAAATGAAAATCTTGTTAAATGGTATTAATTATGACTTGGAGCACATCGCAGCCCCATGTGTCTTGTATTTGCGATTAGGGATTCGTGTCTTATCAAATATCTAATTAATCTCCGAGACATCTTTTGTTCGGTTTCACTTTATCGAGGGGTTTCCAAGGGGGTTCGCTGACAAAGGTCCCCGAATATTTATTCTAATTGTCCAAATTAACTGCTTTCATTTGCATAGCAATCGATGGACTGAGAATAAGGATGTGGCTTCTTTCTCTTTGCCAGAAACACGTTATATGGGAACAGTTTTTTAAACTTCAGAAAAAGACGGGGGGCAAAGAGTCACATGCAAATGTTGAATTTTAAAATGCTCTTTGCACGGCGCAGTCAAACGGTAGCTGCATGTTATTTGAATATCAGTGGCCCCGCACTGAAAGGGTTCAAGGATGCTCTCTGACTTCTTTGTGCTTACCCAGTGCAGCGTCCGACTCTCAAAGAAAAGGCCGGGGAATAATTACAGCATGAATCCAGGACTAGGAATACGTCACGGAAAAGCATCTCATCCAGACACCCTCTTTTTTTCCCTTTTCTTTTTAAGGAGGATGTTAAATTGACCAGAAGGCAATAGGAGGGAAATTATTTTCATTTCCTTTTGTGTAGCAGCGGCTTCAAGGAAACGGGCAGAAAGTGAAAACTATCAAATTACTACATTTCCAATCTGAATTTAATCAAAAAATATATAAACAGCCTAAATAATAACGCTGAAATTTAATATTTTGTCGACACGTTCAGCAACTGTTTTTTCCTCCATATTTTTATTATTATTATTTTGGGGGGGAGGCAAAATGTGTCATTTTTATCGACATCAAAACAGTTTGCAAAATCTGCAATTTGTAAGTCTAAATGTCAAAGAAAAATCGCTACAAAAATTATTTAAAACTCTACAGGTTATATTTAATGTAAATGTCTCATGTAAAAGTAGCCAATGAAATAACTGCAATTGTAACTGCCTTAATTTATACACATCTACTGCATGCCTTATAACGGGGTGTTACTATGCTCGCTGGCTATTTGTACACAAATTATTCTTTGTCTATTTTCATTTAACGCCCGGAAAAAACCCAACGAGCGTTTTACAGAGATTCATGGATAACGCACTTTAAAGGCCATTAAAATTCGGGGAAACTGGTCTTAAAATTTTGTGCCCATTACTAAAAAAATAATAATAATAATAATAATAATAATAATAATTTGGGGATTTAAAAAAAAAAAAAGTGTATGAAATTTCTATGAGGTGTCCAGAGCACACGGGTATAAAGACTGACATCAGTCCACGTCTTCACTTTCATGAAATTTGACATTAAACTTAAACATCGCGATAAATAACTCCATAAACTAATTGATTTAAAGATTTAATCAGAAAATAACAGTCCTGCTTTTAACAAAAAAAAAAAAAAAAAAAAAAAAAAAAAAAAAAAAAAATCTAAACAATTTTCACAAACACAATCAAAAAGTAAGATTTAAAAATTGCATCAGATGAATTTTATTATTTTTTATTTTTTTGGTAGTGACCCTGAAAAGGAGTCCAACATTTTCCCATCAATGGATCAGATGCAAATTGCTTTTAATGGTAACCAATTCATTTAGACCCTTTCATACAGTACAAAACAGCATCAGTGTGCACTGACATGCATCTAGATATTTTCTGTTGACTGCTTCCCTCTGCTGGAAGAAACGGAGATCAACACACAATTTCTTCTATTTAAATAAAGGGACCCTACATGCATAACAAAAATTACTACTTAATAGATAGTGCAAGAGACATGCATGAGATTTTCCTTTTTCCTTTAGTTCTATATGCAGGAAAAACAAGCTTAAAGAAAGGAGGTCAGTGTCTTCTATTTGTTCTGTCCCCACTTCTGTCTCTTCTCTCCCTACTCTTACTCCTGCTTCTTCCTCTGCCCTCCCTTTCTCTTCTCCTTTCTCTGCTTCTGCTCCTCCCATCTGCTGTTCTGCCTTTCCTTCCTTCTGTGCTACTTCTGTTCCTCTCACCATCTCTACTGTGACGTCTGTCTTTACCTTCGTCCTCCCTGCCTCTCTCGTGGCTTCTACTTCTGTCCAAGCCAGACTTGGAGCTGCTAGGTCTCTGCCTGTCCCTGCTGTTGTGCCTCTTTCTCTCTTGACCTCCTTCCAGCGTGATCGCGTTCTTGGGGCTGCGATTCCGACTCCTGCTCCTTCCCCTCTCTATCCTTGTTTGTCTATAATCTCCAGACTCCTCTTTAGTCTGCTTCTGTCCAGTGCGAGGGCTCGGTGACCTGCTCCTGTGAGAAGAGGCCTTTCTCTGACTCTTGACTTGTCGCTCGCACTCAGAGCTGTTATCCCGACAGGAATCTTTTTTCTTGTTCTTCTTTCTCTTCTGGCTCTTGGACTTGCTATGACTGTCTGAATCTGAGCCACTATCATCACTGCTGCTGCCACTGGAGGAGTCACTCGAGCTGTCGCTGCTTTCATGCTTTTTCTTGTGTTTTCTTTTGCTCTTCTTCTTCTGTTTTTTGCTCTTCTTTTTCTTTGCCTTCTGCTTTTCTAGCCGATCCAGTTTTCTGCAAAACAAAAAATAAAGGAAAACAAGCATTCAATTAAAATTCTTCAGTGACGCAGCATATTTGTGCATAATAAATTCTGATTAGGCACAAAGTTTGCAGAGATTGGAGTTAAACACTTCACCAGAAACGGAAAATGTAGTGATTGCATTATTTAAAAAATGCATTAAGATACAAGACAAAAAACTAAATGTAATATAAACATAATAGGAAAACTGGGCCTACAATAGCTATAGACACTAAAACATATCACACCATGTTTTAAATTTTGTCTAAATATTTACATTTTATTTAAATATTAATGAAATAAAAGTGATCATGTGTGAAGGTTTTTCACCTGAGGAGTTTCTGTTTTTGCTTGGTTGTTAAAGATTTCAGGAATTCCACTTCGGGGTCTTCCTCTTCCTCACTGGCCACATAATCCTGGAATATCACAAAGCACACATAACATTACAATTTACGAATAAATATAAGCCCTGACAATAAATCTACATTGATCGGCTTTGACAGTGACAACACTTCTTTATTAAATCTACTTATCTGACTTTTTATTTTACACTTTTCTACAAATCTATTCGATCAAAAGACAAACCGCATCTGTAGTTAGTTATTCTCTCTCCCATTCAAGGGTATAGTTTACAGTACGCGTGTGTTCGTATATTGTCCTGTGTGCACGGAGATGACAGTGTGAGACACAATTACCTGCAATGGATCGCAAACAGTTGAATTCCTACCAAGGACAGATTTTTTCAGAGCAAACCCACTGTTTCGCATCTCCGCCATTAACTCCGAGGGGTGCATCGACGGACCTGTTGGCACAAATCACAGCCTCAGAGTCCCATTGATGTCAGAGCCATACCATCCACTATCTCCACAGTGGGAATTTCAGAGGCGGCTTTGTTAACAGAATGGGACATCAAATCAACTCACTCCACTTCCGGCTGAGCAAATCATACAATATCATTCTCTGCCAAAGCAGCAGTTAAGGGAATCAGAATACACAATAATTACATTTTTTCTCCCGGCACAGGAGGGGGACCATTACAGCACTCCACCATCAACACCACTGACTGGACTCTCCCAGGGTAAACATTATTACTTTACTACTCAACTGGCTGATTGCACAAGTCAGAATCAGCTCAAGGCCGGGAGCTCCAGCAGAAGCCAGAGAGGGACGATACAGTCGGTGTACCTGCTGCGAATCGTGTGACAGGCAAAGCTTCCCAGTGCTCGCAAATTTTCTGGCGCTTTATTCTTTTGTAGTAATAATTATTTGAGTTTTTCCACTGCAAAAAGATTCTGTATATGTGCACTACAGCTAAACTCATTATTGATTATCCTGCCATAAAATAAAAAACTGTACCCAACAATAATAGTGGTGTCTTTATATAGATGTCAAAGCAGCGTTAACACAGAATTTCTCATTTAAAAGATTAAAAAACAAACAAACAAAAAAAATGTATTTACCTGCGCCATCCTCTGAGGTCATAGAGCTGGCATTGATACCTGACAGTCCGAACAGAGGACACTCTCTGTCCGTGTTCACGTGGCCCCATTTGTGACATTTGATGCATCTCACGTTGCGCACCTTGGAAAGTTGGGCAATAACAAAAATTAGAATTGGCCGAACACTGGAGGCACATGCAACCCTTTAATAATAAGAAAAATACACTATAATTCACAGAGCATTACATAAGACGGTGTTTGCCATTTTCTCTTTAGCTTCTGATCCTCTAAAAAACAAAAACAAATAACTGTCTACAGCTGACTCTGTAGTCATAGGCTACAGAGGGATTTTTCTAAAAGGTTCATTTGTAGGATTTGAATGCATAAATTTAACATAGTTTCTTTTGTCACTTGCTTAACATGACTCTTAAGCCATTTTCCACATATAAACTGCAGCCCTGAACTTTTCAAGGACTTGCCCGACACAGGCACATGTGAAAAGTGGTTGTCCTATGTCCTACCTCCTGCACGCTCTACCCATGCAGCTTCTTCACCTAAACCACACGGTTTATTTCCAGTAGTGCAAACGTGTCTAAAGCAGACCGTTTCCTGCTGTGCGCTACATGTGAGAAAGGGCAACTGTGGAAAACATCCCGACCTGACGCTCCTGAAATTCTCCCAAGTTCATGTGTGAAAGCAGCTTTACACATTAACTGCCAGGCTGGGGGATTATTTGTGCAATATA